AGAAGGCAAGTCTCGGCCAACTCTTCGAACTCACGGCTCTGTTGGTTAAGCGTAGCGATCGACACGTCCGACAGCGGCATCAGCTCGTAGTTGGACTTCGCGTCGGTCACCGACGGCGCCAAGAAGTGGCCTTCGGATGACTGCGGTAACGATTGGACCAATTCGTCGCAGCGTTTGCCCAACCATTCCATCGACTCTTGGAGTTGGGCCAACACCCGGAGCTGCGCCACATCAGTGAGTATCTCGTGCACCGGTATAGCGGACTCTTGCGACAGATTACTGGTCAGTATCTCCGACTCACGCATATTGCGAAGGCGGACCTCTTCGGGCGACTCGTCAAAAGTCATGCGCGACTCCTGCGACAGGAGCCGCACGTGTGGTTTGCGGTGCTGTTGCTTCTGCTGCTGCTGTTGGCGATCCGTCGACTGAGCGCCCAATAGTGTGGCCCAATTGGGCAGCGACTTGAGGAACCGATTGATGTCCTCGTCCTTAGCCCACGTGGCGCTTATGATACGCTTGTCGTCGGGTTCGGGCTGAACGATGGCCCGATACGCGGCCAGACATACCTCCTTATAGTTGGACAACAGTTGACAGATGAGTGTCAGGAAGTCGTCGGCGAAGAGTGGCATCGCGAACATCAGGTTCTTCAGGTCGAACATCGCCCGGTCTATGAGCGCCGCCGAGTGCAGCACCGGTCGCGACAGACCGACGCCCGCCAGCCATTCGGGATCCGTTTGTATTTTCCATATGTCCAGCGATTTGTTGGCCAAATCGATGGTACGCTCCAAGTCGTGGTTGATTTGATTGCATAGTGCAGCACCGGTCGCGACAGACCGACGCCCGCCAGCCATTCGGGATCCGTTTGTATTTTCCATATGTCCAGCGATTTGTTGGCCAAATCGATGGTACGCTCCAAGTCGTGGTTGATTTGATTGCAGAAACTCTTGGCGCACGAAATCAGATACAAATAGAGCGGACAATGGCTGCCGTCATCGAGTTCCAGCTCGTCCTCCACTTCTCGTATGAATTTAATCAATGGGTTGAACATTAGGACAATGTTCTCGGGCTGTGGGACGCAGACGATGTACTTCTCGGTCGAGTTTAGCGTAAAGTCGATTGAGTCCATGCCGTGACCGTCGCCGGTGTCGCCGCCGGACTCGCCGTTGGCGACCATCTCTTTGAGTGCCGCCTCTTTCTGTTCGGCCAAATAGGCGTTCAGTGATATGGCGTGCGATGAGTGGTCGAAACGGAAGAGCGGCGCCTTATTTGTCTTCAATAAGCGATCAGTGGTCAGAGCGGCGGTTATACGGCTTTTGCGCACGAAATACGAGGATAAGTCTGCGACCGTGGGATTGGCCGACACTACCGACGGATTAATGGCCGGATTAGCTTTGGCGCTACTGTGCGCGCCGCTGGTGTCCAGATATAGGTCCATCACGTACTGTACGATTGTCTGCACTTTAGACCAGATGTCGGGTATTGTGTATAGCGCGACGTCATCGATGTCCACACTCTGGTCGTACTCCAGCCGCTGAAGTGCGGCCAATACGATCGACTCGTGCAGATGGACAACAGTGCGGTACTGTTGGAACAGTAGGTCCAAGAAGTTCTGCAGTGAGTGCGGCGGCGCCTTCTGTTTGCTGTTGTAATTGCCTAACAGTGCCGATGAACTCAACACAAACGAAAAGGTCTTATCGCCCGTCCAGTCGGTGGTGACGCCGGTGTCCGTCGAGTCGCCGCTCACCTCACGGCCCGTCCGTTTGGCCAAATTTGTCAACTCTTTATCGCAACGCTCTTTGATTGTCTGTATTTAAAACACATTTGCTTTTAAGTGATATTAAATGACTTTAAATGGTATTAAGACATACGTCGACCGCTTCGGGAATTTTGTTCAAAAGCGCCAAACATTTAATTAAAATGGATATGAATTGTCTGCTGTCCTCTTCGGGATCCGATACGTTGGTGTCCTCTTCGACGCTCTCGTCTCCGTTGACGCCTAACTGAGGCATAGACGCCATCCTTTGCTCTACACATGCATTAAAAACAATTATCAGTAAAAACAGTGATTTAAAAGTACCACAAAAAAATCAATTCAATTCACTTTTATTAACGCCCAATTGGACAGCGGGTGACAGTATGTCCGCCACAGACATCTTGCGGGCGGGCGTGTTGTCGGCAACAGATCCGTGACCACCACCGCCGCGAACAGAGCCGTGGCGTTTGAATCGTTTGATAAGCTCTGCGGTCGACCGATGGTAGAGATGTCGGTGCATGTCGTCGATGACGGTGTCGTAGAGGTGCTCCTTCTTGTCCACCAGATCCGACTTAACCTCTTTGAGCGCATCCACGTTCACCAGATCCGTGTCCATCGCGCGCAGCGACTCCACCAATAGGCGCGTGGCGTGCAGATAGTGCTTGCGCTGTATGTATTGGTCCACCCGATGCGGTACACCAGTCATCTGTTCCACGCGGTCCAGCAGTTCTAGTATCACCTTATTCTCCACCGACTCGAGCCATAGTTTCTTCAGTTCGTCGCGTTTGCAGTGCAACAGCTTCTGACACGTCTGCAGCTTATCTCTGGTGACCACTACTCGCTCGCGGGACGACTTCAGCCGATGCGAGATCTTCGAGTACGCGGACATCACCTGCAGAGGGAGGGCAACAAGTCGTGTGAGAAGATAATGAATGTGACACTTGTTTATCACGTGTCGAAACACTGGTCTCAAGACATTTCATAGTCACACAAATAGCTCTATTAAAGGTGTGTGTAATCAACACACACTCACTGATCCCGTGGGACCAATTTGGTAATCATTACAATGTCTTGGAAACCACTGCCGGCACCGGAACACAGTGTGGGCACTGAATACATGCCTGAGTCAGGTCCTGGTGGTGGCCGACGACCAGAGACGACAGTTTGGCGTCACATTCCTTGAACTCTCGCTCGAGGTTTGCCTTCTCTCGGTCTCTGTCCGAAGAGTCCCGCGAAGAGGTCAGCGTTCGGATCACTGACATCAGGAGACCTCCCTTTAGCACAGACTACGGGTGAGAGAGAGAGAGAGATTAGTGGTGTGGTTGGTGTCCATCGATGACCACTACACGCGGCCGACACTTACCGACGACTCCTTACTGGACGCTCGGGTCAGACGCGGCGGTCGTGTCGGCTGTGAGTCAGACATTGTCTTCAGCGGTGGCCGAAAGTCGGGTGTGTGAGTGGTGTCAGCGACCGGTCGGTGATTACTGGATCAGATGCGATGGTAGTCTTGTTGTGGTCGCTGCGCCAATGAGAGCGTTAGATGTGTTGATGTGATAATGTGTGGCCACAACTGTGCGGTCAATGTGTGACTCGTATACCGATTGTGACAATCGTTTCAATCAAACAAATGTTTTTGTTATTCAAAACCCAATGTTTGGGTGTTTTTCACACTCACAGCGAAACACATCTGTGGCTACCATTTGATGCGCGCCATACGTGTGGCTGCCATACACTATGACATCATTCAATGCAATCACTTAAAGAGTGTAGTGTGTGTTATGCCGAACCCCTCCCCCTACAGGTTAGTGAATGGCGTCGTAACCGGTATTCAGTTATTATTAGACTACAGCTATGATTGCAAGCGATGGCCGACGCATAGTGTGTGCGCGCATAGAGTGACTCACTGTCAGTGACTGCGCAGTCATTTGTGGCGCAATAATTCGAACGTTTGTTTACATCGAAATCGGGTTTACGTTCGCCACTGAAAATCACGTGACATTTGCTTAAAACCAATCGAACGGTGCATTACATTGAATACCGCGAGCCATCGAATCGTGTGTTTCGTTACAAAACGCCAAACAAAACACAAAAACAACACTTTATTTAGACATCGATTGACACCAAAAGACATGAAGAGATTCTTCGGCTTCGGGTCGCAGTCGAAGGCCAACAGCGGGTCCGCCGGTTGTCCGCAGCCGAGTGTGGATCACATCAGCGGTGATGTCGAACGCGTGTCGGCGGAGATCGAGTCGCTGTCCAAACAGATCCGTATCGATGAGCAAAAGTGTCGACAACTGGACACCGATTGCGCCGAAGAGGTCCAGTCGTACGGACGGCTCGAACGCCGACACGAAGACAATGGCCGGCGAAAAGGTTAGTCCCGACCGAACCGGTGGTCACACCGTGAAAGTCACCGCCAATTGGTCTCTATTTCTTTGTATAACACATGCTTTGTATGTCTTCGGCCCCACAGACCAGACCATCGATGGGATCAAACGCTTGAGCCAACACGTGGTGACACTCATGCGTGCAATCGAGTCGTCGGACGCTATGGTCGATGAGTTGGAGCGAGAGGTGCGCCGAATGGAGGCCGAAGTGGACGCCCAGAGGCGTCAGTTCCGGTCACTTCTGGACCAATACGGGCGTCAGTACAACGAGCGGAAGGAGGCGTACGAAGCGATCGGCCATTATATGGATGTCGACGGCAGCGGAACCGGCGAACGAGAGGACGACATAGCGCTGGACTCCCGGCGCCGACAGATGCGAGCGCTCAGAGCGGAGATCCAGTCGCTGGAGGCCCGCGCGGCCACCGCTAAGCCGAAGGTATGTCACAGTGTTTTTGTACAGTTTGTGTCACTGTTTCCGGTGTTGTCTTGTGAT